CCAACGGATATCTACTGTATGTGATAACATGTCCGCCATCGCACTCCCCAATAACCTAGTGTTTCACGCTCGACAAAACACATCGAGATAGATCACAATTTCATCAGCGACCATATCAACTCTCATACCATAAGAGTACTACCGATCAGCTCCCAAGATCAAGTTGTTGATATTCTCACTAATCCCCTTTATAAAATTTGTTTTTCAGCACCTACGACTAAAACTGATAGTTCATCAGCCACTGCCAGTTTGCAGGGGGTAATAACAGACTCTGCCACATCAAGAAAAGTGGAGCAGCCACTACAACAGTAGATTAAATCAACACTAGTAATTCAAAATAGATACATCATCTAAACCTTACATGTGTAAAGAGCACCATTTCATTTTTCTGTGTAACCAATCCTGCTCTCTAAAAAGAGGGCAAACAGTTAGAAAGAGCGACGAAGTAAAACTACTCTTTACACTATCCTATGTCTTCTACTTTACTCTCCTCACAAAGCTTTTCATATTTTAAGCATTTACTTTCATGTGAACTTTTGCTTTTTAAGCCTTATTCCTCAAAATCAAACAATAAACATTTATTTTATGTAAAAATATATCATATTTTTTTTCAGAGTTTTAAGCGATACTGACTTTAGATGGCAAATTTAAAGGAAAGTAATGCAACTCATACAAATTTTAAACAAATTTTTTCACAGACTCACACATATGAATACTAAACCGGAAATTTATTGGTTGGAAGCCTAAGCTTTTGAGTACTAGACTAAGGTCTCGTTTGGGGCGGCTTTCTTTATACTTTTTAAAATAATTTTTTAGTTCAAAAATTTTAATTTTGTACTAGAAACAACAATAAGAAAGCCGTCCCGAAGTCTAAGGGTTCGTTTGTGACGTCTTTTAAATTAATTTTTTTTTACTAAAAAACTATTTTAAAAAGCAGTAAGAAAGCCGTCTCAAATGAAGCCTAATGATCTTTTGGGATGGCCATAAGTTTTTGTAAAGACGGCTGTAAAGTTAGGAGAAAAAAATGCTTATATAAAAAACAACTTTAATCCAGAAATTTACTTAAAATGCTTATATAAAAAACAACTTCTTTAATCCAGAATTTTACTTAAAATAAAGAATATAATAATCAAACAGAAATTG